GTTGCTGGGAATTGAACTCAGGACCTTTGGAAGAGCAGACAATGCTCCCAACCACTGAGCCATCTCTCCAGCCCCCTCCTTCAAAGTTCTTGCTTCCTAAAAAAGTCTGCCAGATATTCTAGGCCTGTAGGCTGAAGACTGGGTGCCGCAACACTGCAGAGGAACCTTGAGTAACTGTCCAGGTAGATTGAGATCTATGTTGTTTCCTTATTTTTGGAAGTTGCTTACAATGCACTTTATTTATTCAGGTAATATTATATCCTTCTAAGCTCTTTGATGGAGTTGAATACTAGATATTTATAGTTAAACTTTTCCATAGTTATGATAGAAAGACAATTGGGTACAAAACTTTCACCAAAATAGGATAAACAATGGAGTATTTTCTTTGAAATTGTCAAATACAAATGTACTAGATATTGTAAATGCAATTCTTACTTGATAATTATTCTTATTATATATAGTTTTACTACATCTTTCCTTTTTATTTAGACAAAAAGGGGGAAATATTGTGTGATGGAGGAAGATCATTGGCTAATAAAGAAACTGCCTTGGCCCATTTGACAGGCCAGCTTTTAGGTGGGTGGAGTAAACAGAACAGAATGCTGGGAGAAAGAGGAAGTGAGCTGATACGCCTTAGCTCTGTTCTCTGGGGCAGATGCCATAAAGCTCTGACCCAGGATGGACATAGGCTAGAATCTTCCTGGTAAGTGCACCTCGGTGCTACACACATTAATAGAAACGGGCCAGGCAGTGTTTAAACGAATACAGTTTCTGTGTTCTTATTTCGGGGCATAAGCTAGCCAGGTGGCTGGGAACAGGGCGGCAGGAATGCAACCCACAGCTCCTTCAACAATTGTGGAAAAGTTTCTTTGTTCATTTTAAGGGTGTCACTCAGATTTGTTTATTAAAAAGCTGAATGGCCAATAGTCATGCAGGATTTTGGGGCAGAGAGGATGTTGAAAAGGAGGAGGAAATACCAGGGGCACAGATAAAGCAACATGAGCATTGCAAAGTAAAGGTAACTAAGCCATGTAAAAGAATGTAGAATAAAAAATATGAGTTAATTTAAGTTATAAGAACTAGTTATGAAACAAGCCTAAGCTATCAGCCAAGCTTTCGTAACAATAAACCTGTGTGATTATTTGGAAACTGGAAGGTGAGACAAAAAAAAAATCTGCCTAATAACCTATCTCAACACATAACAAAATATACTTTTACTTCTTTTCATTATGTGCCTTAATAATGTTAAGTAGTCTGGAAAAATAAAGGTAGCTATTTTCAACTCCTAAAAAATTAAACAAGATTACCAGATAATCTGGAAAATCCACTTCTATATATGTACCCAAAAATATTAATTACAGTGTCCCCAAAAGGATATTTGTATACCCATGTTCACTGCAACATCATTTACAATAGCCCCCAAAATGAAAGACACCCAAACATCCATCAGTGGTTGAATATATAAAATGAATACGTGTGTGTACATGCATATATACAATGTATCTGTGAGGTGTTTAAGTAATATACAAACATATATATTATGCAGTCTTTAGCAGAAAGGAAATTCCAAAACATTCTATTGCATGAATGAATCTAAGGAAAACTGTGCTAAATGAAATCTCATAAAAGGACAAACTTATATGAGTCCACTTATTTGAGTTACTTGACAAATTCACAAAGACAGAAAGTAGTTTGGGGGTTTCCAGAGACTAGGGAAACTGAGAGTGGCTGTTTAGTGGTTATAGAGTCTCAGTTTTGCAGGATGAAATGAATTCTGGATTCATCATATAGTACAGAAAGGCTCATGAGGCCCCAGCCCTGATTAAGAATTTAAAAGCAGTTAACAGTTGCCAGAAGGGAGGGGCCCATGAGGATCTATAGACAGCTAGTGATTGCTAGAGAAGGAAAAGACATTTTATTTCTGTGATATAGACATTGGTAAGGTATCCATGCTCCTGTAAGTAAAACTAATTAAGACAATGGTTCACAAATAAAAACAAAAACATGGAAGTAGAGGAAAACAAACTAGGAAGATAAAAGGTTGCAGCAGGAGTGTGTGGTTGGGGCAAGAGAGGGAAATAAGGGATGACTATGATAAAAATACAATCAGATAAGTGAATTAAAATATAATGAAGGGCTGGAGAGACGGCTCAGCGGTTAAGAGCATTGCCTGCTCTTCCAAAGGTCCTGAGTTCAATTCCCAGCAACCACATGGTGGCTCACAACCATCTGTAATGGGGTCTGGTGCCCTCTTCTGGTCTGTAGACATACACACAGACAGAGTATTGTATACATAATAAATAAATATTTAAAAATATATATATAATGAAACTCACCTGGCAGTGGTGGCGCAAGCCTTTAATCCCAGCATTTGGGAGGCAAAGACAAGTGGATCTCTGTGAGTTTGAGGCCAGCCTGGTCTACAGAGAGAGTTTTAGGACAGGCTCCAAAGCTATAGAGGAAACCTGTTTCAAAAAACCAAACATAATATTGGAACTCATTGTTTATAATTAATATATGCTAATAAAATTTTTTTTAAACTTCTAGATATTGGTTGCAAACAATGTGAACAGATTCAATATGACTGAAATCTATGTATACTGCATAACAATTACCACAAATAAAATGTCTGGGTTCCCCTAACCTAGTTTATAATATCATTGTTTGATCTTTGTCTCTTGGCATCAGTTCATGAAAATGTTCTAGTTAGTTCTATTCCTGTTGTAAGATGGACTAATCAAGGAAGTACACCCTACTGTTATCAAAAAGCAAACCTCAAGGATCATTAATGGTGCTATGGTCATTAAGTAAAAAGTTATGCCTATATCAAAAGAATATGTAACACAATGTACTTTGCTTCTGTACATTACCATGTGACAGAATCATACAAGTAGCATGGGCATAAAAGTAGTTACATTCAATTATTAGGTATTGGGATATACCCATGTTGTCAGAATTTCACCTCATAAATTACCTGCTAATTGCAAAAGGAAGAGACGTTTACCTTTTAAAACAGCAATACCTGCTGGAAATCATATGAATAAGAAGGCAATCTCTGCCCTGCTTAATGTGACATAGCGAAACACGCACCTCTGGCCTTGATGCAAAAGGTTCAGAATGAATGTAATAAAGCCACTAGTCTCAAGTTTTAGGCAACAGAGGAACAAGCCAAGGACCACATGGAAATACTATATATGAAATATATGAAAACTATCCTGGTCTCATAAATAGGTGAATTTTTAATATGGTCTAGGTTTTAAGTATAGGGTTATTCAGATTTACTTATGCATATGCACGTTTTGCTTACATGTACATCTAGACAACATGTGTGTGCCTGGGTTCACGCCAAAGTCAGAAGAGGGCTTTGATTCCCCTGGAACTAGAGTTAAGGATGGTTGTGAATTGCCATGTAGGAGCTGGCAACGCAGCTGTGCCCTCTGCAAGAGCAGCAAGTGTTCTTAACCACTGAGCCATCTCTTTCCCCACTTAAGTATTGTTAACCTTCTTACAATTGACAATAGTATTGTCAGCCCAGAAAATGTTCTTGTTCTTTTTCTAAATTTTATTTTACTTTTTATTTTTAATTATGTGTATGTCTATGAGAGGAGATGTTCACATGACTACAGCTACCTGCCATTCATTACATGCAGCCCAATCTCGGGTCTCTGCAAAAGCAGTCTGTGCTCTTATCTGGTGAGCCCTCTATACCTTCTCCTTATGAGACACATCATGAAGTGTTTAGGAGACTTTCATAATGTCTATAACATCCTATTATATTGTTAACAAAATAATGTGTGTATTTCTGTACTCAAAGAGACGGTTTAAGTAATTATGACAAAACCTTTCAGTTGTCTAATACAGATCATGGGTATTCATAGTTCAATTCTTTCAGCTCTATTTTGTTTTAATTTTAAAGTAAGAAATAGCTGTAGAGAATTACAAAGGAAAAAATAATAAAGCTCTCATTTTTATTTAAAAGTCTATCAATAGACTTGCCATCCCATTCAGCTCTCTCTGCAGATTCTAATAGTCTTATTTGTTCAGTGATCACAAGAGAATAAAAAGTTATTCAATAGCCTAGTGTGGTGGTACATGCCTTTAATCTCAGCACTCAGGAGGCAAGGGGAACTCTGTGAGTTCAAGGCTACCCTGGACTACATAGTAAGCTCTAGGTTAGTCAAGACTACATAGTAAGATCCCATCTCAAAAGGAAAAGTTGCTGGGCAGTGATGGCACATGCCTTTAATCCCAGCACTTGGGAGGCAGAGGCAGGCAGATCTCTGTGAGTTCAAGGCCAGCCTGGTCAACAAGAGCTAATTCCAGGACAGGTTCAAAGTTACAGAAAAACCTTGTTTCTAAAAACAACAACAACAAAACAAAAAGGGAAAAGTTATATAGGTATAGTGGTACAGGTATCTATAGGTACAGGTAGAGTGGAACAGACCTGACTTCTTAGCACTCGAGAGACACAGGCAGGAGGATTACACGTTCAAGACCATACTTACTAAATTCTGTCTCAAAACAAAACAAAACAAAACCAAAAAAGTTATTGCAACAATGACAGCAAAAGGCAAAGTACAATAATGATAAAATGGTCAAAGCGATTATCTCTAAATTGTGGAACTACTGGAATTTTTCCTCATATGTTTAATATTTATGGTACATCTTATACATTATAATTATAAGGTTAAAAATACTGTTATGCTCTTTGAACATAAGCACTACACAGAGACCATTATAGACAAACATTACTGTGTTTAATCCAAAACTGACAGAGCTATACTGAAATACTAAATTCATTGTGAAATTTAGAAATTGTATGTATATCTCATACATACAATCCTAAACTATATGTATAGAAATAGGAACCACTATAAATTTTGATCCTTTCATGGGTGGCAAGGAGCTTTTTACCTTGCTTTGGGTTAGTCACAATCTCATGACTTAATATGAAAATTCAAGTAAAGAATATAATACACCACCAGTAAAAGAGTACTCACTCTCCACAGACCCCTGGTACCTTCTTGCTGGTATATATCAATGAAGCTGCCAATCATGCTCCCTTGGAACAAACTTCCTTGAGCCTGCATTCGAATCTAAAATGAAAAAAGGGAACATTCTATTTTGACAGAAAAAAAAAACCAAAGTGAGACAATTCAGTCCTTTAAAATTAAGGAATTATTTTTAAATCTCTGCTATTATGATGAATTAAATTGTACACAAAAGCATAATTTGTGCCAAAGTATAGTCTATAAAGGTTGTCATTAGGCCTCATATTTCCCACAGTAAATCTATCTTTTCTAGACTTTTACAATAACAAGTATTCATGAAATATAGCGTAGTGGCACAGGCCTTTAATCCCAGGACTCAGGAGGCAGAGACAGGTGAATTTCTGTGAGTTAAAGGCTTGCCTGGTCTACACAGTGAGTTCCAGGGCAGTAATGGCTACATAGTAAGACCCATGTAATTAATTTAGTAAAGAATTAGGGATTACTCAAATATCCAAAAACCAATGTCAACAACATATTGGTTACATAAATGATGAAACATTAATTTAACAGAATACAGTAAAGCCATAACATTTTCCCCTAAAGTATTTGTAGACCTTAGAAGGCATTAAAAATTAATTGTTAAACATGCCAGGTGGTGGTGGCATGTGCCTTTAATTCCAGCAATTAGGAAGCAGAGGCAGGTAGATCTCTGCAAGTTCAAGGCCAGCCTGGTGTACAAGAGCTAGTTCCTGGACAGGTACCAAAGCTACACAGAGAAACCTTGTCTCGAAAAACCAAAAAAGAAAGAAAGGAAGGAAGGAAGGAAGGAAGGAAGGAAGGAAGGAAGGAAGGAAGGAAGGAAGG